TCTAGTTCATAGGGTCGCAAAGAGTCAGACACAACGGAAGCCACTTAGCACTCACATTCCATGAAATACCCAATAGAGAATGCTTTTTGAGGAATTGCATTGAAGTTGTAGATCACACAGGAGAAAACTGACATTTTCTAATATTGAGGCTTCCTAACCTGGTGGGCTGCCGTCTATGGGGTTACATAGAGTCGGGAACGACTGGAGTGACTTAGCAGCAGCAGCAGCAACCATAATTATGGTTTATCTCTCCATTTCCATGGGACTCTCAATATTTTTAGTTTCCCCCATTTAAATCTTGTATGTCTTTTCTTTCTGAGAGTTTATTTCTAGTTCCTGTAAGTTTGTTATTAAATGAGACCATTTTATCACATGTCCCACTTGTTTTGAAAGTGCAATTGATTTTTGTGTGTATTTATCCCACCACCTGGCTAAACTGTTATTTACCCTTATGTCTTAGATTTTGGGGTATTTTTTTCTGTAGACAATCATATCACGTATGAATAATGAACACTTGTTTTCTTCCTTTCCTATCCTTCTAACTATATTTTTCCTTCTTTCCTTCCTTTCTTTCTTTCCTTTTGGCTGTTGTTAAAACTCCCCAATTCTCTGTCTAAGGAACTCCACTATGCCATTTTCCATTTCACAGTATAACATTTGAATCTCTAAAAGGGTCTACCTCTTTTTAACTCAATGCCAATGATAGGATTTCAGTTCTTAGCCTTAAGACACAGGTGACAAAATTCTCTGTAAGAGAATAAGAAAAGGATGTTCTTTTCTGCTCAGGAAGCTGGGGAAAACAATGAAAGCATTTTTAACATAAATCTGTCTTTGTAAATGCTATATCTAACAGAGATAATTTGTCAAACCCTTAGACCTCAAACACTTTGGACAAAGCTAGATAAAATACCCCTTAACTTGTAAAACATCTGTAAGTTTGAGCACTCATCTTTCTTAACAATGTAGAGAGCCCTAGTGATATTGTTAACATCTCCATTTGTAGGAAGCTAAAATTACTTGAGATTTTTTTTCTGTCAAAGGAGAAAAAGAATAACTGGCATTTTTCTCTTCTCATACACATAAAACAAAATGACTCTACTGGACTTTTTATTAAACAAAGAATGAGAGACTGTTGAATGACTGAACCAAGAAGAAAATAGAACCATAAGGTGAGTGATTCTATGCTGAGCCTAAAAATGAGCCCACAGTAATAGTAAGAAGGAAAGTTTTTAATCCTAAAAAATCAAGTAAGACAAATCTCTGTTTGGGCCTCAGTGGGAGTCTGCCTGGTTCTGTGATCTTTCCCCAGATATCTCAAAACTTTGTCACTCAAGACTCATTTGTACTAAAAATCCAGAGCTATTAGAAAGTAAGAAAATCACAGGACTTTCTTTCATTGTTGATTTTTGTCTAAAGATTTCTACCAGATATCACAGGTATGGGTCCAGGTGGAATCTTATCTGTGAGTATACTAGTTGAATCCAAGTAGGCATTCCCAAACTTGAGTGCATAGAAACCCTCTGTAAAGTGTGTTAAAATGCAGATTCCTGGGTTCTGTATCCAGAATGTCTGATTCAGAAGGTTTGAGTTCAGACATAAGAATTTTCATTTTAAGTACATTTCTGGGTGATGCTGAAGCTTCTAGTCTGAAGACCACATGTTGAAAATGGCTGGAGTAGAAAAACAACTGTAATTCCAGCATACGTTCCAGTATTCATTTTCCTAAGTTGGTTGTGCTCTAAATTCATCTGATTCCAAGTGAGTGATTCTTTGTGAGAAATGAGGCTGAGCTGGAGAGTGTCTCCATGGAGAGACCTGAGAACAGCCCAGCCGGGTTTAAGTACATGATACAGAACACAGAGGTTGCAGTAGGTGACTTTTCCTCAGTAAGAGATCCACAACCCACCACCCCAAGTTTTTTTTAAGGAAACATAAGGAAGCCATGTGCTTTTTTTTCTCTTCTAGATGTATGTGTTTTCTTCTTTCTTTTCCTTGGCAAGAAAGCACTATTGTACAATCTCCAGCTTTCCCAAGAAGTTAATGGTTTCTCCTTTATTAGAGTATGAGTTTTATTTTCCCTGTTGTGAAAGCCCATGTGAACCATGTGTTTAGGATGTTTGTATCTATATTCATGGATGAGACTGACTTATTTTCCTTTCTTGTACTGTCTTTGTCAAATTTTTAGTATAAAGTTTATATAAGCCTCCTAAAGGGCTTCCCTGCTGGCCCAATCAGTAAAGAATTCAGGAGACATAGGTTCGATCCCTGGGTTGGGAAGATCTCCTGGAGGAAGGCATGGCAACCCACTCCAGTATTCTTTCCTGGAGAATCCCCAAGGACAGAGGAACCTGGTGGGCTGCAGTCCCTAGGGTTGCAAAGAGTAGGACACGACTGAGCAACTCAGCATCGCAGAAGCCTCCTAAAAGAAGTACGGGATATACCCTCCTTTAATATCTGTAAGAATTTCTGTAGGATTAAAATTGCTTTTTCCTTAAGTGTTTGGTACAACTTTGTTGTTACTGAGTTGCTAAGTCATGTCCGAACTCCTTTGAGACCCCATGGACTGTAACCCGCCAGGCTCCTCTGTCCATGGGATTCTCCAGACAAGAATACCGAAATAGGTTACCATTTCCTTCTCCAGGGGATCTTCCCGAGTCAGGGATTGAACCTGCATCCACCCGAGTCTCTGCATCGCAGGCATTCTTTACCACTGAGCCATCAGAGAAGCTCCTGGTACAACTTACCGGTGTAGCATTCAGGGTTTGAGTTTCTTTTGTGCAAAGACATTCAACAATCAACTTAATTTTTCCTACATGATTATTAAAACAAAGAATTCAGTGCAACTGAAAAATGATGAGTTGACCACTGTGTGGAAGCTCCAACCAGAGCTATTTTCAGAAAGAAATGACAAAGCCCCTTTCCATTACATGCCATGTCCTGAAGGAAGGTCACTGTGACTCAGGGCTCCTTTCCTTACAAATGAGTCTAAGGGTAGTTGGGGAGGGCTCAGAGGGAGAAGGCTCTGGGTTATCTTCCTGGGGGGGGGGGAGTTGTTTGCTTTTCTTTTTTTAATTTTATTTACATATAGTTTATTTACGATGTGTTAATTTGTGCTGTACAGCAAAGTGATTCAGTTTTAAATATATATAGAGAGAGTATTCTTTTCCATTATGGTTTATCATAGGGTATTGAACAAAGTTCCCTCTGCTATATCGTAGGACCTTGTTGTTATCCATCCTTTATATAATAGTTCGCATCTGCTAATCCCAAATTCCCAATCTATGTCTTTCCTGCCCCCAAAGCCCTTGGCAACTACAAGTGTGTTCTTTATGTCTGTGAGTCTGTTTCTGTTTTGTAGAAAGGTTCATTTGTGTCATATTTTAGATTCCACATGTAAGTGTGGGGGGGGGTGGGGATTAAGTCGCTTCAGTTGTGTCTGACTCTGTAACTCTATGGACTGTAACTTGCCAGGTTCTTCTGTCCGTGGGATAACAGTGTCCAGGCAAGAACACTGGAGTGGGTTGCCTCCATGCCCTCCTCCAGGAGATCTTCCTGACTCAGGGATCAAATCCGCATCTCCTGCAGCTCACTGAGCCCCTGGGGAACACCCCCATGCCCCCCACCCCACACAAGTGATACATGCCATTTGTCTTTCTGTTCCTGACTCACCAGGTCCATGCATGTTGCTGCCGCTGGTTTACTTTGGAAGCAAGGGCACCAGGAGTTCAGTTCAAGGAGAGGGATCGGTGCTTTTCAAATTAAAAAAAAAAAAAAAAAGTTTTGTTTAGGACTTCCCTGGTGCTTCAGTGGTTAAGAATGTGCCTGTCAATACAGGGGACACAGGTTCGATCCCTGATCTGAGAAGAGCCCACATACTATGAAGCGAATTAAGCCTGTGATCCACAAATACTGAATCCACATACTCGAGAGCTCATGCTCTGCAACAAGAGAACCCACCGCAATGAGAAGCCGTGCACCGGGGGGAGAAAGCCCATGCACAGCAATGAGGGCCCAGTGCTGCCAAAAATAAGCTAATTAATTAAAATTTGTTAAGTATTTATAAAGAAGCAAGTTTTTAAAAAATATATATACACCTGTTGATACACACAAATATATTTAACTGAAGCGTTTCACTAAACTGTAGTTACACTCACTATTTGTGGTGCAGGTTGCTACTTCCTATTCTCCTGTATTAATTCCATTCCACCAAATATATACTTATAGTATATTTATTTCATATAGGACTTCCCTGGTGGCTCAGCTGGTAAAGAATCCACCTGAAATGTAGGAGACCCAGGTTCGATTCCTGGGTTGGGAAGATACCCTGGGAGAAGGAAATGGCAACCCACTCCAGTATTCTTGCCTGGAGATACATATTACTATATATTTTATAAATATCTATATAGATATATATAGATGGCGCTAGTGGTAAAGATACCACCTGCTAATGCAGGAGACCTAAGAGACAAGGGTTCGATCCCTGGGTCGGGAAGATCCCCTTGAGAAGGGCATGGCAACCCACTCCAGGATTCTCGCTTAGAAAATCCCATAGACAGAGAAGCCTGGTAGGCTAGACAGTCCATAGCTGTCGCAAAGAGTCGGACACGACTGGAGCGAATTTAGCACTCCCATATATTATATATAAAATATATACAAATATTACATACATTTACATTACTTATCCCATTCCACTAATAACACACATACACATACAGGCTTTCAGCGCCGTGAATGAGGCTTGGGAATGGATCTAAGAGCGTGACCCGCGCTGGGGGTTCCCAGGACCCACCTTTCCCCATCCGTGGTGCCAGTGATTCCAGGGTTCTCTCTTCAGACACATCTGACGCCCCCTCTTTCCACCTGCCCACGGGGAAGATTCCAGCGTTAGTCAAGATTCGCACTGATCAAGCCAAATGCCGTGAATTTCCTTCTGAGTTCCCACTTCGTGCTGTGGCATCTGGAACCCGATAACTACTAGAAGTGCCCGTCCGGCTCCTTTCATGGGTCCTGCCGCATGGGCGAGCAGGTGCGCGGGGAACCTCGGTGAGGCCGGACAGCTTGGGTCACTGCGGGCCGGCGCTCCTCCGAGAGAGCGGAGAGCAGCCCCGCGGGATCCGAGCGGGAGGGTGGGGCTCTGTGCCCCCGGCCGGCGCCGAGCTGTGACTGGCGTTCCAGAGAGCCAATCATACCCTCCGACCCGAGGGGGTGGGGCCCGAGTGCGCCGGGCGCGGTGGCGGAGAATCCCCGGGACCCGGGGCTGCGATTTCACTAGCCCGGGAGGAGCGCCCCGGGAGTCCCGCTTCTCCGCGCCTCAGACAGCCCTCCTTAAAAGTTTGCACCCGGGCCTGGAGACTCGACAGAAGGGGAAGCTACGGCTCGAAACCCCAGGATCCGTGGGAGATTGCGCAGAGTCCTGGAGCGCCTGGCTGGAGGAAAAGGGCATCCGTTCGGTGGCTTGCAAACAGCTACAGAACGCTCAGGAGACGCTTATTGCGGGTGAAATTTGGGACGGTTATTGTAGCCCCCAGGGATCACCTAAGTAGGGTTCAGTTCAGTTCAGTCGCTCAGTCGTGTCCGACTCTTTGCGACCCCATGGACTGCAGCACGCCAGGCTTCCCTGTCCATCACCAACTCCCGGGGCCTACTCAAACGCATGTCCATCGCATCGGTGATGCCATCCAACCATCTCATCCTCTGCCGTCCCCTTCTCCTCCTGCCTTCAATCTTTCCCAGCATCAGGGTCTTTCCCAATGAGTCAGCTCTTCACATCAGGAGGCCAAAGTATTGGAGCTTCAGCTTCAGCATCAGTCCTTCCAATGAATATTCAGGACTGATCTTTAGGATGAACTGGTTGGATCTCCTTGCAGTCCAAGAAGTCTTCTCCAACACCACAGTTCAACAGCATCAATTCTAGTCCAACTGTCACATCCATACATGACTACTGGAAAATCTATAACTTTGACTAGGCGGACCTTTGTTGGTAAAGTAGTGTCTCCACTTTTTAATATGCTGTCTAGATTGGTCATAGCTTTTCTTCCAAGGAGCAAGCGTCTTTTAATTTCATGGTTGCAGTCACCATCTGCAGTGATTTTGGAGCCCAAGAAAATAAAGTCTGTTACTGTTTCCATTGTTTCCCCATCTATTTGCCATGAAGTGATGGGACTGGATGCCATGATCTTAGTTTTCTGAATGTTGAGTATTAAGCCAGCTTTTTCACTCTGCTCTTTCGCTTTCATCAAGGTTGCCTGAGCTGCTCAGATCTGGGAAGGGCACAAAATGCATGGCCAACCCACAGAGACTGAGCCAGAACTGTGTCTGAGCATCTCCCATGGAGGTGCGGGTCAGCAGTGGCCTGCCGCAGGGTCAGGGGCTCTGGGTGCAGCAGACCTGAGTATAGCATAAGCCCCCTTGGAGGAGGTCTCTATTAACCCCACCATAGAACCCCCAGAACTTACACAGGACTGGGGAAACAGACTCTTGGAGGGCACAAGCAAAACATTGTGTTTACTGAGACCCGGGGGAAAGGAGCAGTGACCCCACAGGAAACTGACCCAGACTTGCCTGAGTGTCCAGGAGTCTCCGGGGGAGGTGTGGGTCGGCGGTGGCCTGCTGCAGGGTCAAGGGCGCTGAGTGCAGCAGTGCATGCATGGGACCTTCTGAAGGAGGTCGCCATCATCTTCATTACCCCTACAGTTTGGCCCCAGGTCAAGCAACAGGGAGGCAGCACAGCCCTGCCCATCAACAGAAAATTGGATTGAAGATCTGAGCATGGCCCCTCCCATCAGAGCAAGACCCAGTTTCCCCCTCAGTCAGTGTCTCCCATCAGGAACCTTCAATAAGCCTCTTATCCTTCTCCATCAGAGGGCAGACAGGCTGAAAACCGAAGTAGGGTAGTGAGGAAGGAGTCCGGACCTCTAGAGTCCTCTCGCCTTCCCTCTCAAAGCCCTGGCGTGCGGTGGGGGACGGGGCTGCCCAGACCTCTAGACCCTGAACTGGCGGCAGGCGCTGTCTGAGGGTTCCTTCAGGATAAAGAAGGGAACCCAGGTCCTTGAGGAGAGTCCTGGGAGAACACTGAGGATGGGACGTTCATCCCTTCATTTCTCACCACCTTTGTTTGGATGTGTAACTGTTTCGCTTAACCTGTGGTGGCCTCAGTTTGTGCAATAGTCATTTCCTCTCTTATACATTACCTTCTGAGCCTCACACCCACATCTGTCACCTTAGGAAGGGTTACGGAGGGATCCGGGCAAGGGAACCTCTTCTCAGACCGAGGCGATCAGGAGCCATCCAGGGTGCTTAAGCAGGACCAGAGTTCCAGCCAAGAGAGAATCATAAGCCATCTCCTTTCCTCTACTCAAAACCCATCTTCCTACCTCCTTGTAATCATGGACACGGTTGCTCCATAATTCAAACTAATAAAGAAATTTAAGAAAAAAAATCCTAAGTTGAACTTCTTCTGAATATCCTATTTCTGACGGAAATGTCAGTGATCAGAAATATCTCTACAAGCATGGGATAAATAGTATTGTAGATATTTATTCTATACATAGTCCTGAAAGTAAATATATTAACTTTTTTTTCCAGTTTTGACTGGTATAATCATGGAAGTCTAAAACAAAAATAAAGATAAAATGTACAATCAAAAGTTTTAGTTGTAGAAAGCAAGATATTTTTATGGAATCTTCACATTAATATCTAAAAAGCCATTTTAATTTGGTTTCATAATTTAAGGTAAAAGCCAAGAGATTTTTGCATCCCAGAAATAGAAAATCTTCTATTAAAGTAAGATATCTCATGTAGTCTACATTCAATCTGAACCATTTAGCCCTCCCTTTTATAGATCTTTCAGTTGGTATAGAAAAGGACTAAGGAGGCAAAAAATTTATTGATAAAAAGTTGAATGGAACTTCCATTTTTCTGTAACCCTAAAAAAAGTACCATTATGGACATAATTGCTGGCCTGCTCTTCCTTGGTGCTCTGGTTATCAGAATAAAGATTGGATAATATAGATGAAAAACTTAAAAAAAAAAAGTCTATTGAATTTGTTACAATATTGCCTTTGTTTTAATTTTGAGTTTTTTGACCCTGAGGCATGTGGGATCTTAACTCCCCGACCAGGTATTGAACTTGCACCCTCTGCACTGGAAGGTGAGGTCTTAACCACTGGAGCACCAGGGAAGTCCCTAGGTGGGAGTGAGGGTGCCAGCTCTCTTTACCCCGACTTGTGGGTTTCCCACTCAAGTCGGTGAGTGAGTATTCTCCCCCCGCTCTTACTCCAGGGCCAGAGATGGTGACTCACAGGCACGCAGCAGGGAGCAGGGGCCTGTCCGATGCGAGGCAGGCAAGTCCAGCTCAGAAGAAGGGTGTGGCCGAGTTGCCACTCGCTGAGGGGCCGGAATGTGCAAATGTGTTCCCACCGCTGCTTGTGTGAAGTGAGGGAAGGTGAAAGGCTGGTGAAAACTCAGCCTCGTGGGCAGTCCAAGCAGCAGTCAAGACAGAGAACTGCAAAATCAGCAGTCCAGGTTTTCCAGATGTCCCGGGGCCCAGCAGCAGGCTTCCAGCAAGGGTGGCTGGGCTCTGTGGGCTGTGCCCGCGTGCCTGGTCAGCATTCGGACCTCCCCGGCTTACTCAGACGGCTGGGGGAGCCGAGCCAGGGGCCTGGAGAGGGACCAGAAGGGGACCCAGGCACCCGAGCAGCGGTTCTCCTGTCTTCAGGAGATCCTCTCCAGGAATTCTCTTCTCCAGCGTGTCAACAGTGATTCCATGGGAGGAAACAGGTGCCAGCCTCGGTTAAAAACAGAAACAAACCCCGAAGCCTCTAGGCGAGCGTGTGTGGGTGTGGATGGTGCTCCAGCTGGCATGCTGAACAGTCAGAAGGGGACACTACCCCATCAGATAGGAGGAGAAGTGCAGAGTCAAAGCAATGGTGTGCTCCCCAGATGGAGGGTCCACTGGAGGAAAGTCACTGCTGCAGGACAGACCTCTAAGAGAGTCTCCGTCCGTCTTCCCCTTCCCTGTCCAGACACCATCTGGCGTCCACCTTTTTCTACTACTTCAAATAGGAGACTGATGGGGCTGCTCCAGGACAGCATAACCCCACCGCCACCCTGACCCCGCAGGGCCATTTTCTCTTCACAGAAATGAAAAAGGGTAGGATCCTCATCATGGGGAAAATAAAGGGGACGGATTCAAATCACGCCGGAAAGGGGAAACTGGTTCTCTGCTGTGGGGAAGATTTGCTGAGCGTTTAAGAACAGGCTACTGAGCAGAAGGGAGCTTTGGAGGTTGGTCATCGGTGGTGCGGGCAGGCCTTCCAGAATACCAAGGGTTTCAAAGCTAGTGTGTCTTATCGTCTCTTTCCTCAGTTTGAGTGGACTTCCCAGCATAGAACTGAAGAAAGGTCCCCTCCTTCCTGCCTCTGCTGACACGGAGGTCCCTTCCCCAGTTGCAGGTCTGTGTTCCTATTGCGGGAACACAGAGAGGGTAGCATTACTTAGTGCTTGCCTCTCCACATCACTCCTGAAATGTGAGACCTCTTCCCACTTCAGGCTGAAGCTGACCTGAAATTCTCAGCATGGATTCAAATAGTTGCAAAGAATAGAAATTTCAGTATATTATATATTTACATTAAACTGTCAACCACTCCATCACATGTCCAGTGGAATCCACATACCATGATTGACACCCATCATTAATTTTTGAAATGTGCAAGCAACCCCTTCCTTAACAGTTGGAATTATTTTGTTCCTCCTTGTTTTTCCTTTGAATTCCTATTTTCATTTTACTGCCCCCTATAGACTGTTTTCGAATTCTCCGTGCTGGCTGCATCCTAATGTAATATGTTTTTGTTCTTGGAAATCTTCTCTTGATCCAGCTATTACGTTTCTTTGCAGTAAAGTACATTCTTAAAATGAATTTTTAGTTTTCTCTGCTAAGTGCTTAAAATTAGTAATGTGGATTAAAATAATATTACAATTATTAAAGATACACAGTTGGTCAAAACTATAAATAATATTGGTAAATAAAAATATAAAAAGTAGAGGGACTTCTCTGGTTTTCCACTGGCTAAGACTCCACACTTGCAATGCTGGGGCCCCAAGTTCAATCCCTGGTCGGGGAGCTAGATCACACTTACTGCGACAAGCGTTCACCTGCTGCAACCAAAAGATCTCGTGTGGGGCACGAGAACCAGTGCAGCCAAATAGATAAATAAAAATGAATTTTAAAAAATATACACAGAGGGCAAAGTCTATAAAAAATACACATATATAAAAAGTATAAATTTGTTAAAAGTAAATTTTAACCAAAATGCATCTCTTACTGAGATTAACAGGAGACTGATTTTCCCAGCTTCATGCTAATGAAAGTTACTTACCGATTGTGAGGCCAGGTTCTGTATGATTTCTGTCCCTTAGGAAAAAAGTTTAACATAGAATAACTCAAGAATTTTGTTCACATATAGAAGTATGGGAACATAAAAAATATGGGAGTGGAAGGAATCTTCTTGTAGCAAGTTCACCCAATTTTACAAATTTTCTCTTA